CTCTCGCTCTCTCTTACTCTCTCTCTCTCTCTCACGCTCACACGCACACACCTGTGTCTAGTAGGCTCATGTGTCTAGGACGCTCATTTGCTGTTTGCAACGGACTCTCTCTCTCCTTTCATATCGGATGCATCCGCATTTGGCTTGCTTTAGCGTATCGAAATCGTAGTACTCTCTCTTGTCGTCTCGGATGCATCCGAACGTCGCTTAGGGTCTCATCCAACACTACATACGGTAAGTAAAAAAGTTCGTTTTAGGGGATCCCACGGTTTTCCGAAGTCGTAGCCGTCCCCGTTGAGTTCGGACGCGAGTGAAAACCTTTCGCGTCGTGGCGGGCAGGGAGTGAACGCCGCCGAAAACGAAGTAAGGAAAACGGCCGAAAATGCAAGAGAGGTCGGCCCGTACCCTGCTGCGAAAAAGAAGGGGTACTTTGTTTGTTTGTTTTTTTTGTCTGTTGGGGTGGGCTGGTTTGTCCTTGGTCCAGTAGTGTGTGGCACGGCTCCCCAAACCCCCCGCCCCCCCCGGCGGGTTTCCAGATTTGTTTTTTTTGCGTGTCCTGGTAGTGTCCGTGCCAGTACCCGCCCAACACAAACCGCCGAAACACACGCGGATTATGCGAAACATACGGTCTAGTGAGGTCCCCGTTCTCTTTTACGTCCCGAATGGGCCGGCCCCAGCTTTTTCGTTTCTTTTACGGATTCCTATTCCGTAAGTAGTGTCGGATGAGACCCTTACTCTCTCCTTTCATCTCTGATGTATCCGGAGTTCGCTTGCTCTCACGTGTCGACACCGTACTCTCTCTCCTGTCATCTCGGATGCATCCGAATTTCGCTTACTCTCGCGTATCGAAAACCTTGCAGCTCTTGGACAGTTATGCTTTCGGTTTCTGCATGCTCCTCGATCATGCGTCTCCTGTGCGACATGTCGACATGGGAAAAACTTTGTGCAATTCCGGCTCTGGACAAACGTCCGCCTATAGACTCAAACAGCAAAAGTCCACGACGGGTTTCATTGCCTAGTACCCTCCTAACTCTGACTACGTCTTAGCACATATGGACTTTGCTCCTCGGAGTGGAGATTGATTTCACTGCTGGTTCGGATGTGTCCGGATCATAGTGTACAATGTGTCAGTGTAATATCTATATTTGTCTCGGAGAAATGCAAACATTAAATTAAATGTACTACTTACAAACTCGACTCAATATCATGACACTGTTGTGATTTGGAAGAGTCTGATGCTCAACTTCAAGTAAAATCAGACTGAGTGTAACACAGTGTACCACACTCTGCTGTTCTGTTCCAGAGCTGGACACATCCGAACAAGGAGTAAAATCGGTTTTGAGTTCGAGGAGTGCAACAGATATGTGTACTGACTGCAATCCTCGCCTCAAAAGTTATTTTACCTCTGGTTCGGATGAGTCCGAATCTGGCATACTACACCTGACTATACACTGTGTCATGAATTCGTTTCAAAATAGTACACACAATAATGTGTTGTTTTAACAAATAACATGTTAATTGCGCACACTTTGCATTTCGTTATTGTATCTCGTTTTCGATTGTCTCCCTGCACTCGTGGGATTGTGTGAGAATAGAGGTCGTGTGATGGCATGATTAGTTGGTGCATCGAGTTTTGTACTGACTGGGAACGCGTTGTCCGATGGNGAGAGAGAGAGAGAGAGAGAGAGAGAGAGAGAGAGAGAGAGAGAGAGAGAGTTGAGGTTGAGAATGGACATGGATTTGCGTTTTTCTTCTTCGTTCCTTTTTCATCTGTGTATATAAATTTTTGTGTCGATTACGGGCGACTTGCCCCATATTTGTTTTGCGGCCATTTTTGTCTTTGCTCAGTTTGGTTTGTCTTCGGATGTTTGGCTTTTTGCTCTCCTGCTCGAATTTTCTGTTGTAATCGATGCATGGATGAATTGCGCACACTTTGCATTTCGTTATTGTATCTCGTTTTCGATTGTCTCCCCGCACTCGTGGGATTGTGTGAGAATAGAGGTCGTGTGATGGCATGATTAGTTGGTGCATTGAGTTTTGTACTGACTGGGAACGCGTTGTCCGACGGCTCGTATGCGCGCGCGTAAGTGTGATCCTGAGCGGAACACGGCTTACGCGCGTCCATACTGATCGGACCCGCTGAGCTAGCTCTGACCCTAAGCCACGMGATGAGAGGATGACGGGTTCTCAGAGCTCTGACTCATCATACGACCCCGACTACTTCACCCCGTGGGTCGATGAGCTAATCTCGCGCAGGCGCRCGACGTTCCCCTGTCTGACGCAAGGTCGAATCTGTCCYCGAGAATTCGATCGTGCTATCAGAAGCGACCCCCGAGGACCCGATTACCCCGAKACGTATTACCAGCAGTWCTATATATCCCCCGGCTTCGTCGTCATCGCCACTAACTTCCCACCCTTCCGTCTCCWACTTCCGTATCATCAGCTTACGGTGGTTCCCTGACACTCAATAGCGGATTATTGGCCACGCACATGGTGCGTGGATTGCAGGCGGTGCCCTCACTCCCCAGACCCCCGGTGCGAGCCGGCCAGGTACTGTCTGCGCCCCCAGCCGACACGTGGAACGCCGAGAGGACCTGAACCCCRTGGCCCGCCTCGAYGCCCGCCTCCACCCCGTTTCCAACGACAGGGTCGGAAGGCTCCRCACYAGCATTCTCGCGGGAACACCCGCCCGTAATTTCCCCATCGCCTAATTGCATCTACGCCCCTGAAGCTTTCCCACAGGAGATTCCAGTTTTGACCTGGGACTCCACCCCCACTTTCCAAAAATCCTTGGCACACCCCTTTTCGCACTTCCAGGCCCACATCACACTCCGATCAGGAAGTCGCGCCGGGCGTGAGGTTGGTATCGGAGCCCGACACGTGTCCGTAGACCCGATAGTGGCTAAAGCGAGATGATCTGGCTCAACGTAGGCGTCCTTCAGCTGAGAATACACGTCGACGTAGTCCCGTAGCAACACGAAGCCGAACGTCCGCTAATAGAAGAGTGGGTGCAATGGCTGCGGCCGCTGCTGCAGCAGCCGCTGCGGCGGCTGCCAACCAACAACAACCAGTACCGCCCGCTCCACCTGCACGAGCCCCTGCGGCTCCACCAGATCTTTATTTATTTGACCCCGCCCATCATCTCGTTGGGGCTTGGTTAGCCACACTCCGAGCTCAGCGTTATACGAACGATGAAGCGCAGATCAACATTCCCGCTCGGATGGGAGGGGACGCCCATCATTGGTATAGCACCTATGCATGGGTGGATCTTCCCACATTCGAGAGCAATTTTATGAATCATTTCGATTATGTTCACCCTGAGCAAGCACTCTACATGATCAAAGATCGGGTCCAAAAGCCACTAGAATCTATTACTGAAGATTTCACCGAATGTTTGTGAAGACTGAGCGAGGAGAGCAGGTAGGACGAGATTTGTTCATCGACGGACTACGAAACAGAACGATTCGGGGAAAGCTATGTAAAAACTTCTCTCCCATTAACCACACGCTGCAACAAATTATGGACGCTGCTGAGGAAATGGAGCGAAAATTTGCAGCTAGCTTCCTAGAAAACGAGGATTATGGTAGAGAAGGAGACTCGTCCGAACTTGTGAAAGCAAGGGCGGAGCTGGCCGCACTGCAAAACAAATTCGAAAACATGGGGTTCGTAGCCAGACCCGTCACGTACGTGGAACCGGTAACGTCAAGGACCGCACCACATAGAGTGACTGTAAACAGACAAATCCCGGCGACGGCGTCCGCAGCCGTAATTCCGCCACCTCCCCCGCCAGTCCTCATCGAACCACCTGCACAAGCAAGTGAGTCTACTGCTATCTTGGAGCTAACCAAAACTTTGGTCAGTCTCATCCAAGAGAGCAAGAAAGAACAGCGAGAACACAACGCTCGATTGGAAGCTATGATGCGGAATATGCGGCCCATTGCGGTGCGCGCGCCAATGCAGGGAGGCATGGCGGCTGCACAGGCTGCAGCAGGCCCAGGCGGGACAGCGGCAAACGCTTGTTTTACATGTCATCAACCAGGCCACCTGGCTCGGGATTGCCCCCATCGGGCCATGCAACCTCGAGTCGGGGCCGCACCTGCAGCTGCGGCTCCCATAGCAAACGGCCCACGACGCGTAGGAGCCATGATGGATGATCAGGGAGGAAGTAATGGGATGATGATCTCTAGCGAAGAAGTCGCCGAGCTTATCCCACTGGAGCAGTTTGTATCACTAGGATATCCGGGGCTGGGAATGATTGGGACGATCCGGCCGGAGCTTGAGTCTAGAGAGGTCGCCGAATGGCGGCCTTCGTCGAGCGAAGTAGAAACGGGAGGGCATACTTTTGTTACGGGAGAAATCGATGTCCTTGAGGTTACCCGCGCCCTGGACCATCGGATCCCCCTTCCGATCGGCCACCTACTCTCCATCTCCGAGCAAGCGAATGAGCGAATGATGCAGCATTGCAAAGCGAATAGGAAGCGATTCGCCATTGCACGCGCAAAGGATCAGAAGGCGAAGGCGCCGGCTCCGGAGGAAAAGGCGGTCGTCGCCTCTGATCCCATTCGAGTCGGGTTGATACAAAACGACGATCACTTTCTTCGGATCAAACTGATTCCGTGGAAGTCGGCCGAATGCGATATCGAAGTCTGGGGAGTGCCCTACAGTGCGATCATAGACTCGGGAGCAGCTGTCTTAGCAATTTCACTCCGAGTAGTCGAGAGAGCGGGCAGAAAGAGTGATTTGATTATGTTAACTGAAAAAGACCAGCGCGTATCGGCTGATGAGGAAAAGATTAAAACTGTAGGACGGATGACGAATGTCGCGTTCCGATTGGGAAAAGTGCATGCTTTGGGAGATGTTGTGGTGCTGCATGTGAATACGTATGACGCTCTTCGGACTTCCTGCATTGGTTGCGCTGCGTGCGAATTTGGATTTCGAACGTCGATCGGTCATTCTCCGAAACACCGGGGGAAAGTCGTATGCAATACCCATGAGACTGACTCTCCGAGCTTCGGCTCAGTTAGTACCCCGAATGTCCCCGGAAGCAATGGGAGTGCTTCGCATGGTCTCCTGGAGCGCGCCTGTGGATGAAGGTCAATCGTCGAATGGCGCAAGGAGCGACGACGAGGATGACCCAGTCATTACACAGCTAATGCGGCAGCGAATCCACTACCCGCCGCCTCGCACTATCGCGCGTACCATGCATCTAACCACGCGAAATGCTCATATGATGATCATGGGAGAGCCCCTCGTACAGATTTCGAGACTGGCTGATTCCTTGGAACCCCCTCGAACTCTGTACGAAGGCGTAACCCCCCTTCTCAGTTGATATATTGACAAGCGTTCCTTCTGTGATCTCACTGGCTTGCCTCGATCCTTGCTTCAGCCCGCCAAAGAGATACAGTTATTACGTCTGGGAGCAGAGGCAGGTTCTTTGGAACCCCCTCAGCGCATCGAAGCAAGTTTCGACGAGCTTGGGATAAAAATCTCGCCCAAAAGTGTGCCTTGGCAAGATATCTGCGACGGGATAACTCCCGAAGGCCATACAGCGATCCGGGAAGAGGAAGCACAGATGGTGGCCACTGTGTTTTCTTGGAGATCGGACCATTCCTTTATATCTGCACCTCCCGACACCACTCGACGTATACACATGAAGCAGATTGATATCCGGATTCTGGATCAGGTGTATGAGTTGCATGTGCCCCAATATGTACCCGACGAAATTCATCGGTTGATTGCTGATATTTTAATAGAATACCAAGGGGCGATTAGCGTGTCCGATGCTGATATTGGATTGTCTGTGGTCGTACAACATGAGATTCGGACTGGGAATCATTCCCCAATCCACTGCAAGCCGTATCAATACTCATTAACAGAACGCAAGACGGCCTTGCAGCGGATCAGGGAATTTGAGGCAAATGGATGGATTGAGCCTGCCACCGGCCCCTGGTCGTTTCCGGTTGTATTGGTCCCCAAAAAGAACAGGTCGATCCGCATATGCATCGATTATCGTAAATTGAATGATATCACGATTAAGGATGTGTACCCCCTTCCCCGGATTGATGATCTGCTTGATGCCATTGGGTGTGCTAACTACTTCAGCAAGTTCGACATTCGGCATGGGTTTCATCATATCTTGGTGAAGGAAGAAGATCGGCCCAAGACCGCCTTCGTTTTGTTTGAGGGTACGTGGCAGTGGGTTCGGTGCCCGATGGGAATCTGCAATGCGCATGCCACGTTTCAGCGGGCGATGAACGTGACTTTTCAGAACTTCGTCAACAAGACTCGGCTGACTCAGGGAATGATCAACTTCTGCGTCATTGTGTATATGGACGACATCCTGGTGTATTCGGACACATTTCACGGTCACGTGCAGCACATCGAATGGACGCTGGGCGCGCTAAGAGACGCAGGTTTCAAGATAGCGCTGGAAAAGAGCGAGTTTTTCCTTCCGGAAATCTCGTTCTTAGGGTACATTGTGACACGTGGAGGACAGCGGCCGGATTCTCGGAAGGTCGCGGCAGTGAAGGAAGCCCCGGTTCCGACCTCACTAGTGCAGGTTTGAGCCTTCTTGGGCCTGGCCTCGTATTACCGGTGGCTTATCAAAGGGTTCGCGGCGATAGCAAGGCCCCTGACCAACCTACTGCGAAAAGAACAACCCCTGCATTGGGACGACGAGTGTGATCGGGCCTTCAGGGCCCTGAAGGACGCTCTTGTTACAGCTCCGATTCTGATTCGCCCGGACCCCGCTCGACAGTTTATTCTCATCACCGACTGGCAGTCGGAGGCTATCTCGGCAATTCTGGCACAGAAGGGAAGCGATGGGAAGGAGCATGTCATTGAGTACGCGTCCCGGACGGTGCCAGACGAGTGACGAAACGAATTTGCGCCACAAGGAGAATGCTATGCGGTAGTGTGGGGTATCCAGCACTTCCATCCGTATTTGTACGGTCAGAAGTTTCTGCTCGTCACCGACCATGAACCTCTGCTGGCTTTGAAGAAGCTGACTAATTACACAGGCATGATTGGACGATGGGCGGTGCGGCTGCAAGAATATGAGTTTGACATCGTCCATCGGAAGACGGAGAGACACGGCAATGCTAACGGATTGACACGCCTGCATCGACCCGGTAAGGTACCTAAGGCAGAAGAGATCACGTCGTGGAAGGACCCGGACATCAATAACGGTCCTAAGTACGGAGAGGTCGCGGTTATTCCACGTGGCAAGAAACCGGCGAAGGGCAATGGGTGACGGAGGTAATGCCTCGATTCCCTCTCCTTCTTCCCCCTCCTCTTCTTTCGCCTCCCTCCCTGACAAATTTTGCTATTTCTGTGAGGCGATCTCTTGTGTCTATTCCGTCCATATGTGCCCTAAGGAGACGGGATACGCTGAATGGGTGGACTGTCGAAAATGTGTCGCACGTGCTCATGGTGCGTGCATACAGTACCGGACTAGTGATAGACCCTGGTTCTGTCCATTATGTCGCGCTGACAAGATTCCGACGGAAGCTCGATTCCTCGATGCCACGTTGGAGGGTCCCGGCAGGATCCAGAAGTTTAGAAGAGCGGAGGTTTGGACAGATGTCGCCTTGATAGCCACTGTGGTAGGGAACTCCCTCGAAACCTTCTCCACGGAGGATCGGAGGAGGGCCAATGAAAGAGCACGGGATTATCGCTGGGTGGACGGACGATAAGAAAAGCGTAAAACAGACGGTAGCGGGGCTTGGTTAGTAGTTCCGCACCCGTTCATGCGGTATGACTGGGTACGGACAGCCCACGAGGAGACGGCGGCGCATTTCGCCGTGCGTATTACCGAAGCTGCAATCGACAGGAACCAATGGTACTGGTCCAATATACAGGACGACGTTAAATTCATCGTCCAGCATTGCCAGATCTGCGCTGTCGACAAGGCTCCAACCCAACCGCCTAGGTCGATAGTCCCAACTGTGGTTGAAAGGCCGTTTCAGAGGGTTAGCATGGACACTACCGATATAGTGGTGCCCCCTGGACCAAATAGCTGCGAGTATTCAATTCTGCTGGTTTTTGTCAACCACTTTTCTAAGTGGATCGAGGCTTACCCCTGCAAGACGCGACAAGCCGCGGAAATCGTGCGGTACGTCAACAGATTTCTGAGCATGCACCAGGACACCGAGGAAATCTTGACCGACAATGGGGTCGAATTCAGAGGAGAAGTCGGGAGGAACCTGGTCATACACGATGTCTCCATACAGCACACAGCCCCGCATATGTCTCAGTCTAACGGATTAGTGGAAAACGCGAATAGAGTAATAAAGACGACATTACGGCGGAATATTGCGGCACGTGACTCCCGACCCTGGCCTGATATTGTCGATCACATCTTGGCGGCCCACTGCGGAATGCCCCACGAATCGACGGGCCTAAGCCCTTTTCAATTACGGACTAATAGCGTTGCATGTGTTTCGATCCCGAGCCTCCCAGACGAATCAGGACTCAACCGACGCCCCACGAGGGCCACCGCTCGGGACAAAGCCAAGCGGCACCTGGAACTCATGGAGCGGTCCCTCCCGAGGCTGGCCCGGAAGCGACAACTGTCCACCGAATTGGCCCATGGCCGACAGGTCCGGAGCTACGAGGCCCGAAACGGGAATGCGGGTCCCAGGACCCAGTATAAGTTAGGGGACATCGTGCAGGTAAGGAAATGTGCGCGTCAAGGTAAGCTAGCGCCACGATTCTTCGGGCAGTATCGAGTGATTGAGCTCGGACCCAACGGCGTTGACACCGTGCGCCTCGCCCCCGAGGTTTCCGGCAGTCCATCGGCTCGACCGATCACACGCCACGTGTCCTATCTCCGCCTTCTTCCATCTGTCCCGTCTCCTTCTTTATCAACCTCCTCCGTCGACGATTCTGCCCCCTCGGTATCCCCTTCTTCCTCTCAGTCTCTGTCGGTTACACCGTCACCCTCGCCATCACCATGAGCTTTATAGAGGAGAGAGCTCTCAGTGAAGCAGCGCTGGTAGCACGCGGGAGTTTGACATTGCGGCAGGTGCATCATCCTCGTCTTAGTCCGAATCTTCGACGGATCGCGCAATTTTTCTGCTCAAGGGGTGTCTACGAGGCAGCAGAGATCCACGTTGACGGGAGGGCTGACGCGATCATATTGGCCGAAGCCGTCGGACTGCGACAACGAGCAGCCGCTGGTGTCTCGCGGATAACGGTGGTGGTTAACTTCAGTGGAGATCTCACGGCGATTCCTCCCTACCGACACACGAGCATCAAAGTGTCGTTGCTTCTGTGGGTGCAGAATCTTCAGAACGAGTGGGCCCAGCTCCTGGCGCATCAAGGGGACGTGATCACACCAATACGGGTGATCGAATACGACGGCCTTCGGCTGGATCGGCGTGACCCGCCGGCGCGACTACCCGCCCTCATCCCCTTCCATCCCCAATGAGCTCCCTCCCGCTCTCCAGTTTTGCGCTTCCTTCTTCCTTCCCCACCTTCTGGCAGTCTGATCTTCATCCCCGCCTCTCCTTCTGCATAAATCCTTTGGCTGTCCCCCTTCTCGATCCATCTCAGTGGGACGCGTGGCGCGGGGACTTCATCGAACATTCACTGTGCCTGACGGAGGTTCGAGTGACGTGGACGAGGGACGAGAACAACTATCTGCGGTCGGAGCGATTGGAGCTCCTTCTGATTCAGGCGTGGCGGACGGAAGTAGAGGGTGACCTTCTTGGCTTCCTATTCGGGGCGGTGCGCCCAGGTTGTCGACGACTTCTCACCCAGGAGCTTACGATCATGATTGCGCAGCTGGCTGACGATCTCGACGTCAGCATTACCTCCCAGGACGATGCGCGCTTGGTACCCCACATCACCTCGCGCACGCTGTTGCCGTACCTTCAGTGGTCGGCTTGTGTGGAAGGCTTTCCGTCGCGGATCCCGCCCTCACGGTTGGATTACCTAGATCCGCGTGACATCTTGGATCCTGCATTCTACCGGCCGCCGTACGAAAACGAATTGGACGAGATAGTCCGTGAGGAGCTTGCGGAAGAAAGCTCGGAGGAAGAAGAAGACCAGAACGAAGGCGAAGGAGAGCCAGCAGAGCAGGGCGAGAGCGAAGAAGACGAAGAGAACGAGGGCGAAGAAGGGACAGGAGAGGAAAGCAGCGAGCAAGGGAGCGGCGACGAGTCGACGACAACGACGGCCCCAGCTGGAGATTGTGCCGGTGCTGATCGGAAGATCAGCAACGATCCAACAATCGACCCGGAGCCGCCTTAGCCCAACGATGGCGATGTGGCCCCGATGGCTGGCCCGTCCGCTCGGTCTCCTTCCCCACCACCACGACGACGACGAGGCCGCTCCCCCTCCGCCTCCTCCTCCGTTGCAACCCGCCCCGCACTTCGAGCACGTCGAGATGAGGCCGATCGACCTTCGTCCTCGGGCTCTCTCTCGCCGCCCCCTTGACTTCCTCACCCTGCGCCAGCCTACCCGCCTCACCGTCTTTCCCCACAATCCCTTTCCCCACGACATTTTTCGCCATTACTTCTCCCTCTGCCTCTCTGTCACGGTCCATCCCCATCCATCCACCCGGAGTGCCTTCCCCGAATTCCCTCTCCATGTGCTCCTTTTCAGCGTGGGATGGCGTCGCATTAACGCCGTGGAGGTTTATTGCCTCATTACGGGGTTAATCCCCGTGTGCGCCGACCGGGATCGCTTTCGAGCGGCGCTTCTCAGGACTTTTACTACGCTCTACCCCGACTACCTCGCTTCCCTACCCACTACTGGCCGCCGATTTCCCCGCTTCCATAGAATCGTCCATCATCGGAGCATTCCGGAGACGGACGATGAACTAGAACGCTTCTTCCCTCCTATCCTGACTCACTTCCCATCAACACCTCCGCCTGCCTATCGCCTTCCTTTTCCTCTTCCCCACGGGTGGCGACAACAGGGACACGACTGCCGCGCAACATGACTTCCATACTCGATCATACGGTATGCGGCAGAAAAAGAAGATGCATCGTCCACGGCCAATCAAGCAGAGATCGACACGTCAGCTAGCAAGAAGGAGCTTGCTTATTTTTGGAACCCCCTGGGCGTCACATATGTGACGAACCAATTTCTGTAGTGCGCGACTTTCTGCGCGAAGTACCAAGAGGGGTCCCACGTCGATTAAACGGGGCGATGGGAAATTGCATGTGTGTCCTTGTTTCTTTCGTTGTCTTCGTTTTTCGCACGAGTCCCTGATGACAGTTGGGGAAGGAATCCGGGGATGCATGGGGAAAAGGGGTGAAACCTGGTCGGGTGGATGCGAAGCGCGCGCTGGAGGCGCGACTAATAAATGATGACGTCGCTTCTTTTCTTCCGTTTCCTTTCTTTTGATTTGGTTTTGTCAGACTTTTGAGCGCGCAGATATCGCGCAGGAATGTCGGTGTCTTTTTGAATTCCCTTTTTGAATTTTTTGTTCGAATCTTGGTCGGAGCCATACGAGCTTCAAAATTTTTGATTTTCTTTTCGGACCCTTGTTTGCAAAATTGGCAGATTAGCTAGGAATTTTGGAATTTTGGAAATTCTGTTCTTTTGGAGCACGGTTTTGCATGCACACGCGCGCTCTTTCTTGCTGCTGCGCCAGGACCTTGATTAACTGGCGCCTTAATCCTTTCGTAACTGTAATTTTGAGCGCACACCTTTGTAACTGTATCTTCCTGTTTCTTGCTTCTTGCTCTTCCCGCTTCGCTTCTTCCTCTCTTCCCTCCCTGTCTGGATAGCCGCGTTTGCATGCTTGGATCGATGCGTGGAGCTGGGTGCGTACCCCACGCCGCGGCCTGATCATGCAAACGAAGGCACTCCCTCCCCCTCGTCTATCTAAGTCCTTGTAATTCTGTGTTCTTCGCGCATGCATGCACGCTATAAATTCCGGCTGCGCGATTAATTTTCTCTCTTAGAAAACTGGAAGCTCGGGGTTGTGTGATGTGAGATCGGCACACGAGCGAAGTAAAGAGGTGAGTAGAGGCGGAGTTGGGCGATCCGACGAGTTGACGCCGAATGCGCGGGGTTGACGTGGGCCACGACGGAC